GTGAGGGAACAGTGAGGGAACAGTGAGGGAACGATGAGGGAACGGTGAGGGAACAGTGAGGGAACGGTGAGGGAACGATAAATGAACAGTGAGGGAACGATGAGGGAACGATAAATGAACAGTGAGCGATTAGAGTCCTGCTCTTTGGCTGCTGTTGCCTCAGGCTTACAGTCTGAGTGAAAAGTTTCCCGGAGCTAAAAATCAATAATAATCTGAGGCGACCTGGTATGACACACACACACACACACACACACACACACACACACACACACACACACACACACACACCATAACAAACACTTTGTTTCTGTTTTTAGCTTTTAGCTGCAGTCAAATACAAAGTAGCTCTATAGAAAATGTCACCTTGTTGCTGTTCTACTGCCCCCTAGTGGCCGGTTGGAAGACTGTATCATCCCAAAGTGAAATTAAATGGCGTCGTAACTCGTCACCATGAATCTTCAAAGAGCTTCATAAACCGTAGAGACGGAAATATTTCAGTGTCCATCGATTCGATTCTTCTGTTCAGACCAGAGATTCAGTTTAAATTATGTGAAAAGAATAAAACTGTGAAATAAACACAACAGTTATGTAAAACAGTTTATAATGCACCAAATTAGCCCGGGTTATATTTAAACATAAATATGTTTGTGAATAAACTTCTGTAAGTTAATTTACTAGAATTAACATTATGTTTAAAACCAAACAGCAGCGTGCTTTTAAATGAAGTCTGGAGTTTAATTTGTTTCATAATGAACCGATCAGAGCAGCTAGCGTCTCTGAGCTAACGGCTAACAGCTGCTAGCCCAGGTTTAAACCAGCGGTGGGGTCCGGCCGCGGCGCTGAGCGGCTGACGGACAGACAGACAGGTAGGTACCAGTACGGCAGAGGCAGAACAGAGGCGGGTCGAGTCGGGTCGGACCCTCCATCCCTCCGGCGGATGTCAGGGCCGGTTACAGCGTATTAAAGATATACAAACACACAGTGTGTGTGTAACAGCCTGGGGCCAACGCATTCAGCCTCCCTGACTAAAATATTAAAGCAGAGAGGATCCGGCTGAAACGTGGAATATGACAGGAAATCAGCGCCGCTGGCTGCAGGAAAACAGATTCAGACAAACAGAAACTCTGGTTCCTCTGAGGAACCACAGCTGGGCTCTGATTAAATGATCCAACTGAGCCAATTTCACACCGTAAGGAGCAGAAAATCGGCTTAACCTGATGACTGTGGGAACAGAAGCTGTTATTTCCTTACATGCAGGCCTGTTGTAGGTTTGGACCAGGAGATGTTTGCTCTCATGTTGCATCATCCTGCAGTTCAACGAGAATCGGAGGAGACAAACTGTTGGAGCTGAAAACGAAACGTTTTCTCTCTTTATGGGATGAAACGTTTGAGCTGCTGCGACTTTAATCTGTTCTGGACAGAAAGATGCTTCAGCCTGCGGCGCTTCACAAGCAGGGAGAATATTTCACCACATACAATCAGATAATTGACTCTAAATATCCACAACCTTTGACCCTAAACTAACATTTATTATGAGTTGAGTAAATTAAGCCCATATTTCTTCTGTAAAGTTCATTTTGTCTTATTTCAGATGTTTGCAGTAAAACTAACATGTTTGTTTTTTCAGTGTAACTGGAACTTTCTGGCCTCAGGTTGCTGCTGAGCGCTACCCCGCCAGCAGGGGGCGGTACTCACCGGCCTGCGGCAGCATGGAGGTGTACACCTTGGGGTCGATGGCTCCCATCGGCGGCGGCAGCAGCGGGTTGGTGAAGCTGCGCAGGGGGTGCGTGGGCCGGACACAGGCCGTGGGGATGCTGCGCCCGGCCGCCGCCTGGGCCTCCTCCGAGGGGCCCGAGGCGGCGGGGGCCCCGGGGACGGGCCCCACCGGGGGCACCAGGTCGGCGGCGGGAGCGGCAGAGCCGGGCAGCAGCGGGGCGGCCGGAGGGGGCGGAGCCTGCTGCTGCAGCAGGGGGGCGGCGGAGGAGTCGGACGGCATCGCTGACAGGAAGCAGAAACAGGAGGAGAGTCCAATTAGAGCGACGGTCTCTGGTAGAGCAACGTCTGAGGAACATCAGAGCCAAACGGCTCCGAATGTGGCGCTTTGAGAAAGAGACCAGATGTAAAACAGAAGAATCTGATCTGTGGATGAAATCAGTCAGAAATGAGAGGAAAAACGATTCTACAGCCAAACCCTGCAGAAAGAAACCAAACAGAATAAAATGCAATCTTTGCCTTCACAAAACATCAGGCTGGCCAAGAATAAAGGGGAAAATTCCCTTTTATGCTTTAAAAAATAAAATACTGTGGGACTGGAGGTTTAGCTCAGCTGAACTCTGACCTGAATGAACCTGGAGATGAAGCTTTGCTCCGCAGCAAAGGGACAAATAACCGTTTAACTCAGAGCCACTCAAAGTTTTATTCTTCTCGCTCTCTGCGTCGGCTACGCTACGCACAGACCTGTTGCCGTAGCAACCAACAACAACGGCACTTTATGCATCAGGATTCAACACCAAAAGAGACGTAACCATTTCCCACTCAGCAGAACTTGGACTAGGACGTTCCGGCTCTTCGTCCTCTTGTCTCCGTCTCATGGTTTTAGTTTTCCGGTGCAAATGAAGCGTTTTTACCACCAGCTTTTGGTAGAAGTGAAGCTAAGCGGATATAAATGGAGCCTCTGTTAAAGCCTTTCTACTGATTTCTCCACTACAGTAAAACATTTCAGTTAAAAAGCTCCGTTTTTTTAAAGCCATTATTAAAACCGATGAATGTTTTGTGCCGAGTGTCTCTCTAATGAAAGAGGTCAGAGATAATAACACAGAGGAGGCGGCTGATCTGATCTCCATTAGCGCTTTCCCGTCACCGTGACGACAACAAGCCTCCATTACAGCCGGGACTCAAACAACAAAAGCTCCTTTTTGAAACGGTTTGTTGTTTAACGGCGTAAAGTTTCTAATTCTGACTTTACTCAATAATTAACAGAAGACTGTAGCTTCAGCTCTGCCCTCGTTTTCTCTCCGTTTCTTATCATCTCTGCGCTCCGCGGTTAGCGGCGCCGCCCCGAAGGCCGGCTTTGATCATGTGCTCTGCGGGCAGCGATGGGCCTCCTGGGTCGCCGGCGACTCGACGACTGGAGCCGCTCCGCCTCCCCGCGCTGCTGTTAGCTCTCTGACACGAGCCGAGCAGGAATTAATCAATTACTGAATTACTGCTCCCAACCTCGTCGTTAGCCGTTCGCTGCGGCAGTAAAACCAGGATTAACGGCAAGAAAAGCAGGAAAGAGAACAGAGGAGCTGGAGACGTTTACTGACCTGAAAACGGACAAACGAAGAGTTTCACTGTCTTCACCGCCCACAGATCGGATTAAAGAATAGAGACAGAAGAAGTGAAACTCCATGTGAGACATAAATAATCTGTCCTGTTATCCTCAGGAAAAGACAAACATCTGTTTTAGACAGCAGGATTTCCTCTTCAGACAAACTGGAGGACGATCAGATTATCAAGATGCTCTACACAGAATTTTAAACTGTTTAGATTATTATACAAAATTTGTTTTTTGTATGTTTTTCTTCTCCATTTGAGTTTCCACCGTTTCTAAAAACAACTCAAGCTTTTTAATAAAAACACCCAGTCACTGTTAGGCAATAAGTTTGTTTTTATGTCTGGAAAACGAGACACTTCAAAAACCTCCAGATTGTTGAGCCACAGTGCCCCGTTACCTAGCAACCACAGCAACGATCTGCCCGTTACCTAGCAACCCCAATGGAGTTCCGCCCGTTACCTAGCAACCCCAGCTGAGCTCCAGCACATTTGGTCAGCTGGTTTTACCGCTGTATGCGCTGTACAATGGCTGCTGGAAAAGACTTAGCATCCAGAAACCACTTGCTGTGGTCTTACTGGTTGTACAGGAAGCTCCACTCCTGCTTTTCAAAGACGTAAGATTGCATAATTGTACAGCTGTTTGCACTCACATGTCGGTACCTGGTGTGTGATGTTTGGTACCTGGTGTGTGATGTTTGGTACCTGGTGTGTATCCTCGGTCCACCGTCAGGCTGGGGAACGGCATGGGCCTGAGGCTGAACTTGTTGTGTGTGAAGCCGCAGGACGGTGAAGGCAGGATCCCCGGATACTGAGAGGATTCCAGCGTAGGAACCGGGATGGCGCTGACCACAGCTGGAACACAGACAGGAAGACGTTACTAGCCAAGCTGGGACAGCATTAGCAGCAGGAACGGCTAGCAGACTGTTTAGCATAACTTTAGCTTCCAGTCCAACTGTCTTGAGCGGCAGAGATACTTTTCATCAGGATATATCCTTTAAAATGTATTTAAAATCATTTCTGCCATTTTCTTTACTCCTAAGATTTCAAGGGAAAAATCAGAAACATCTGATCAAAGAAACGCAGGATTTTAGATACAAACCGAAGTTTGTTGATCGTGATAATTTTCAGAAGACTTTTGCCATTGAAAAGTCTCTTTGCCATCATCTGAAGTAACATCTGGTTCCATCAAGTCGAGAAAACCCGCAGTGGGAACAGCTAAGTAAAAGGTGAGCTGAAGCTAATGCTAACACGCTTCACTAAGAACATATTTAACTCTAAAACTCTACTAAAATTCTTAACTGAGCTAATTGCAGTCAAAAAAGAAACATTTTCAATTTGCTGCTAAATTATTAAATAAATAAAAACATGAGCTGAAGTTTTTAATCTGTTCCTCCTCAGATTGGAGCAAAGTTTCAGGAAGTCCTGATCATTCATGGAGCTTCTTTAGAAATCTGCAGTGTTAGCCGCTACATGCTAACACAGTAGCATTCAGATGCTATTTTAGGCTTGAATAGCTCCTGATAAGCCATGTAATTAATCATATTTCATATTTGCACGCTAAATGTAAATTCTTTCTTTCCTTTAATGAATATTTAAATACATTCGTCTTAGAGGAACTCATCATCTCAGCTGATGATCCTGCTGATGCTTACTTGGTAGCATAACTTATGCTGCGGTCAAGAGTTGTTGACAACATGCTAGCTGATGCTAACACAGCTCGCAGGTAAATGCGGGTAACCATGGCAACCAGAGAGCGTTGTTTCTGCCAGTAATCCCTCCCTACTGAAGCCTGTAACATTTCAAAGCCTGCTCTCCTCGCTCTGCTGCTTCCTGAAGTTTCTCTGAGGCAGATCAGGAGCCAGATCCCTCCATCTGGGTCAGGAGGTGAAAACTTTCAGGCTTCAAACTCTAAAACTTATTGGAAAGGTTGTTTGGGTCACCCTGGCCCAGCTCTACCGCTGCAGGATGTTTTTAAGATGCTGGAGTTTCTGAGTTGTTGTTTTTTAGCTGATTCTGGCAGCAGAAGCTCCACCGTTTGTCCTCTGGCTTCATTTGCAGCCATAAAAACAAAACCACAATCAAACGGCGCGATCACAGCAGAGACACATTAAGGTTTAAATGTCCTCGTTACCGACGGGCGGGGAGAGGCGCGGTGAAACGGCTGCGGATCCGGCTGCAGCGCTGCAGCACGGCCGGGTCTGGAGGTGTGAGGAGGAGGAAGGCAGACAGAGTTCATACTGTGACCTTGAGAGGAAACTGCAGGGAGGCGAGCTCAGTGAGACTGATTACACAGAGCCTCAGGTCTACAGCACACAGAGAGAAATCACTGCACGGCTCCTCAGGCCTGTTTGGAAGATAAGGAGCTCCCCCCAGTTCCTATTATTGTCTGAAGCTGCACGTATATATTTCCTTTTGTCTTCTCTAAAACACATCCAGGCAGAATGAGTGCAGCTGAGCTCTCTGTTGTCTCTCAGTAATCCTTCATGTTTGATTAAAAAACTCCCACACTCTCACTCTCTGTTCAGCAGGCGCTGAAGGTAAGAGACAAGAAAAGGTTTCTAATCTGTTCCTCTAACATGGAGGGAAAAACGTTTCTAATGCAACAATGCAAATAAAATCTGATCTCATTTCTGTATTTGTGGGACTTCAGCTCCTCTCTGCTGGGGAAAGTTGTTTTCTGTCAGCTGAGCTGAGCTTCTGTCGCTAACAGACGAGCTAACGTTCAGCTTTAAGCTAACTGTGAAAATGTTTACCACAGTTTGCTTCTATAAATCAATTAATTCTAAAGTGTTGATTAACTGTCAAACTTTAGCAGTCATTGTTATTCTCAGCTAATATGCTAAAGCGATAATGGTGAATTTTCCATTTAGCACTTTAGCTAACTGTGAAAACACTTAGCTCACTTAGCTTCTCTTAAATTAAGTTTTCTGAATAAAAACACTAATTTACTTGGATGTTTTGTAATCTTCCAGCTGAATAAAGTTCAACATCTGTGTTGAAGTTTCTTTTATTGACTGTAGAGAATTATTAAAGTAGCTATGCTCTTATTTTGAAGGGGTCTCATTACATAGCAGGTACATTTCTTCTCTTTATATTCGCTCTTAATATTTAAAATAAACTACAGATAGTAAAGAAACAGAAATAAACAATTCTAGTATATAAAGGTTTACTGAAGATGTAAATTATGTTAAAAATTGAGGCTCGTTGTTTTTTTAGGTATATTTTGAATACTTTAGTGCTTTAGCATTAGCTTCTGCTAAGTCCAGTGTTGTAGCATGTTAGTGACAGAGGAGCTAATGTTTATGATTGATGCTTTAGGGTTAGCGTCGCTAACTTTTCAGCTAGCTTTAATGCATATTAAACTTTATCTGCATTAAATTTTTATAATTTCTTTAAACTTTTTAAAAATTAAAGAGTTTCTGTCTGACTTCATCACCTCACATCTTTTCCAGCTCAGTTTCACTTCATTAAGTTTTACACTTTCATCTCTGCAGGTCCTGCTGCAGATTTTCAATCAGATGGAGGTATGAACTTTGACTAGGCCATTAAAACTTTAGATGACCTGAGGTTATGTGGTTGTGGTGAGTCTCCAGTTTTTAAACCATGAAGTTTCACACACGATCCGTTTGGTTTGACCGTAATCTGAGAGCAGCTGTCAGGTTTCCTGTCTGGTCTCAGTTTAGTGATCAGAAGCAGAAACATTTTCACCTCTCTGGTCTGATAAAAATGAAACAAATCCTTCAGGCTCTGCAGCTTTTGTTTCCGTTTTCTCCTCTCTGCTCAGAAACGTTTTCATAAAGAACAAACTGCAGGAAAAGTCGATGGAAGGAAGACGGATCCTGAACTTCCGGCTTGGTTTCAGTTTCTGCTCGCTGCAGGCAGGATCAACCTGTAGCCTCCCAGATCCATCCATATTCCCGATCAATACCCGTATGGATCAGGCCCAATCGTCTCTGGTCATCTGGCTGCTGTAATCAAACTGCTTCTCTTAAAATGATTGCAGCTCAAATCGACACAAATTAAATCTGCTGATCAATACGTCCCGATCGACGCTGCGATCGATGGAGCTGAACGGGAGAAAATGTTGTTCAGGTTTCCTGGCAGCAGCGCTCCGACCGGAACGTGAAGGGAGAATCCGGACGGAGATCTGGAGCTCAGCCTGAGGACGAGGCGAAGAGCCGAGCGACGGCAGAGCCTCCGAACGTCCAGGAGGAGACTGAGCGAAACACTGGAGACGGTTCTGATGGTTCTGACCGACCCAGGTGGTCCAGACGGTTCTGATGGTTCAGACGGTTCTGATGGTTCTGACCGACCCAGGTGGTCCAGACGGTTCTGATGGTTCAGACGGTTCTGATGGTTCTGACCGACCCAG